TTTTTTTTTTTTTTTTTTATTTTTTAAAATCCGGTACTATTTACAACGCTGTCTGGGGCAGTGTGTTAGTAAGAAGTTTGTAGTTCAAGTTTATATGATCAGTATAAGAAAGTTCATGTATTGGACAAACACATACCAACCAGCACAGCTGAAATATAAAGCTAAATGGAAGTGGTAATTTAATGTTCTGAATGTGGCATAATTAGAGGATTCCTTTTCTTATAAGACTCAAATGATTCTTAAGATCAGAATTATTTTTATTGCAAAACTATTTAAACAATGTATTTATTTAATCTTCTGTGCTTAGACTTATGAGGTGAGATTGTTTGGGCGTAAATGACAGAGTTTTGGGGGCTGTGGAGGTGCCCTGCGTGGGAAGGAGGTCAGGAACTGTCCTATGCTGGTTCCAGCCAGCTCGGAAGCCAACCTCAACACACCTAAACTTTGCGCGCCAAAACTGCAGCCAGTTAGAGAAGCACATTTAAGAAAGAGCAAAGGCTGTGAAGTGGAGAGAAAAAAGAGGAGCCAAGTGACAAAGAGGTGCTGTTGGAGACATGGCAGGAGATGCACTTTTGGAAGGAGGTGACCCACGCTGGCACAGGGAACACCTCCATAGAAACTGCAGCCCACAGCTGAGCTGAGACTGTTTTGCCCGAGACAAAGATACACCGGGAAAAGCAGATAAGATAAACACCGCAATTTCATTCTCAACTCTCTAGTCTTAGACTTTTTCCAGTTTTGACTTTTATTGCTTTTCACATCAATTTGGATTATACAATATAGTAAAGCTCTGAGTTATTAAAAACGTACCAGAATTGCACTAAAAGTAAAATCACAAAATTTTTTACATTTCTTCATTTTTTTTGTCCTCTTGATAAGGACATAGACAAGCTGAAGAGAAAGGCAGCAGTATATTTCAGAGAAATGCCTGGAAAGTACTTCAGACTGCAAGGAGTATTCAGCGCCAGAAAATTAAAATGCATCATAAAATAGTAAAGGGTAGAATTAAGGTAACAAAGCTATGGAAATTCAAGGTTAGAGTTAATACTGATACACTGAAAAATATTAGCTATTGCAATTATTTGAAAGCCTCTGTACTGTAGGACTGCCAGTTTACAGTCTGTTTATAAACCATTTTTCATTCTGATGTGGGCAAACTGGAATATAGAAATATTGAGCCTGATCCTACCATCTTTAGTCATACCGATTGATATCTTGCACTGCAAATGATATCATTACATCAGGTTACCCCTGAATTTCGTTGAAAGCAGTACTTCAGGCAGAAGTTAGGACAGAAAGAGAATGGAGGCCTATTTTTAGACCTGCATGGGGAAGAACAGTGGCAGAAGCTAGAGACTGGTCATTCTGCCAAGCAGTTTCTAACTGCAGGAGCAGCACATTATTACAAATTGTTAATTCGGGGGAAGTATAAAGTTATTTTGAAATGGCTCATTGCCTTTTTTTTTTTTCCTCCATCTAGTGAACTATCAAAAAGGACAGGAAACTAAAAGCCACATAAGTGAATGACACTTTTTCTCTACCCTGCAAATCAGATACATAAGTCTCTTTCTTAACACAGACTTTTGCCCACCGGGCTGCATGACCATGAAAATGTATTTCAGAGTGTTATATCAAAGTTCCATGTTTTTAAATTTACCTTTGTTTTTAACCAGAATCTCTTTAGTAAGAAATGGAGAAAAATTACAAGCCCAGGATCACTTGATTGTCCAGGAATATCTTGACAAACCCTTTCTTATGGAAGGCTACAAGTTTGATTTACGCATATATATTCTCGTAACGTCTTGTGATCCATTAAAAATATTTTTATATCATGATGGACTGGTGAGAATGGGCACAGAGAAGTATCATCCACCCAGTGATTCAAATTTGGTAAGCTGATGATCATTCCAATTTATCACTTACATGTGTAGAATTTTACCAGAGTAGTGTTTGGAGGAGGAAAAAATAAAATAAGTACATGACATGAGATTTAATTTGGTATTTATATGGCAGAACTTTTGCATTGTTACGTAAGAGTTAAAAATCAAAATGAAAGAGATGCCACTCATTATTTTTTCCTATCTAAATCACAGTAATAGCCTTATTATTACTTATATAGTCACATTTTATATGACTTTTATGTATAACAAAATTTAAATATTCCCTAAAAGCAAGCGAAAGATATCAATTTTTAAAATTCAAAACCAGAGCAACAGAAAAAAAGAGAATTGCTTCAATAACTGTTATATTACCTTTATACTTATTTAAGACTTGGGGGTTTGGCTGGGTGGGGGATGGGGGTAAGCTTTTCTCCTGCAAGATCATTGTTTAACATCCCTGAAGTTTAGAGCTTTTGCTGAGGAGCTTGCAATGTCTCAGCCATTGTGTTGGAAACCTCTACAGAAAACAGAAAAATAGATGCAAGAACCAGTACATAAGTGGTCAGCACAATCCCTGAAAGTGAGAGAATCTGCTGTAGGTGCTGTGTTTGTCAGTGACTGCTTCAATGTGGAAAGGAGTATGGAATTATACAACCTATTTAGTGCATACTGAATGTTGAAATTGTTAGCATGATGCAGAAGGGCTGCCTATGGACTTGCAGAGAACCAGCAAATTGTAAGGGCTATGCTAATTCTTTTGCACACTTTAATCCTTCTGTTTGCTGTACGGTAACCTCTTGGACTGAGAAGAGTAATCCCTCTCACTCATTCTGGCCCAGACCAAAATAAGGATGGCTATTAAGAAAGAAGTGAATGTGAAGCATCCAGGCACTAGTAGATTTGAGTTTCTTATACCTAATTCTTGTGCTCTGTTGCTACTATATCTTTTTTTCCAGACCCATATGCTTTTAGAGCTGCTTCAGCATAATTATGCAATAGGCAATGCAGGGAGAGACGTTTTCCCTACTTGTCATTTAACACTGTGTCTTCTCTTAGTGCTCCTTTGAAGAATGCAGGTGTGATTTGGAAGCCAGAAGGAACGGTTCCCTGTACCATAGGATTGCAGTGGGAAGAGTATAAGCCCAAAACTGTAATAACAGTATTCATTTCCAGCCTTTAAGACTTTCCAAGGGCATTCCAGCTTCAATCAACTACAGCTCTTGCAGAGTATAGAATTTTACTTAGAGATGTAATTAAAGTATTGATGTTTTGAACATTAGCTATTTATCCTCTGATATTCCCTCTTGAGATTATCACTTGTGTCTTACTGTTTTCAGACGTTTAGGTTGCATGCTTCCTTATTTGCTATTGCATAAAGATATTTGGCCCTTGCTATAACTGGTATTCATCAGTAAGTATAGCTGTTTTTTTTTCAATGTGATTATCAAAGTTGTCTTTGGAATAGTTTGCTATTAATATTTCTTACTGTGAGTAATAACAGTATTAGCAGCACTGAAATATGCTCTGAGTGGATAAACAGGACAGCAGACCTGGCAGTTTTCTTTGTGTTCTTACAGCTGTTTATGCGGTAATTTGTTTATAGTAGGAAATAACCTGGCTTATCACTAGTGACATTGTTCTTCATATGACATTCATGCATTTTTCCAAGTAACATCAGACTAAAGATTAGTTCAGATGTTTAACAAAATGTTCCAAAAACACTTTTTTTTTTTGTAGTTTGAAGTGTAATAACCTTTGCCTGAGATAATTTGAATTTCATGGGAAGATGACATTTATAACTACTCAAAAACAATAGGTTTTAGAATGATTCTCAAAGCAGTAATTAGAGGCCATGGAAGAAATTCATTACTTGTAGTGCTAATACAATATATTGTTACCTAGTCTGCGATTAAGTTGTTCAATTCTGTTAATTTCATTAAGTCTTTTAAACATAAGTAAGTGCAATGAGATCAATGACAGCAGAAGGCTTGTGTTCTCTATGGCTACCTTATCAAAAAGGAATTGGAACAGAAAGCTTACGATTACATCAACTAGCACTCGCGTAAGAAATGATATATAACAAATAACTGCCACTGTGATAAGGGGAGTCATCGTGGTAGTGCAGATGGAAAGGTGAATTAATACCTGCACTGGAAGATATATAAATTTCTAAATACATTGGCCTTGGAAAGACCCTGTATTGTAATTTGTTGTACGTAATGTACTAGATGAGTTAAAATGCAACTGATGACATGAATCAATTGCTGCTTACATTTTGTCCTATGAAGGAGCCATAGCATATGCTCACTTATGTAATGTATACTTTGAAATTTACTTCCCTCTGATGTATGGCTACTAGCCATTCAAAAATGAGCCATTCTGGCAGATACCAATATGGTGGACAAATTCATATGTAAAAGATATTTTAAAGTGTCTCTATCATGAGAACTTTTCTCATAAATAAACGACAGGGAAAACTGAAGTGAGCGGTGGATTTTCTGTGAAACAGATGCCAGAATGTTTTTAACGCTTATAAAGTAGCACTGTAAAGCATCATCCTTATCGTTTGCTTCTTGTGGAATGTAACTTTTCTGTAAGCTATGATAATTACTCTTCACATGTTTATGTTGTTTATGTACAGATGTGTAAAAAATGGCAGATCTATTATAATGCTTAACCAAACATTGAGTAGTAGATCCATTGACTAAAACTGGCTTAAATATGAACACAGGTTTTGCTGTGTTAAGGCCAGAACATATAGTATATAAAACCTCCAAGAAGCAGAAATACTGAGTCTGCACATAATTCGTTTGCAAAATGTGAACTGTTTGACAAAGTCATTATTGATCTAATTTTTTTTAGTTGACCATTCTAGAACAGTATTTAAGGGTTTTTTTACATCTTTTCTCTCTGTTTTTAGAGCCAATTGTATATGCATCTGACTAACTATTCTGTCAATAAACATAACGAACACTTTGAACGGGATGAAACAGAAGACAAAGGAAGTAAACGATCCATCAAATGGTTTACTGAGTTTCTAGAAACAAATAACCTTGATGTCTCCAAATTCTGGAATGATATTTCAGTAAGATAAAACTAATATATATTTCTTTATTTTATGTATATGTGTTTGGAAAATTAATAGCTTCTGCTATCCATTTTGCTTGGAATCCAACACAATTTTTGAATCTTTATTAAATAATCTAAAATTCTCAGCAATGTGCACCACAAAGAACATAATATAAAAGATGAGGATGATGATTCCAAAAATGATGATTACATTTTTGGAAGGCTGGATTCAGAGTTTGATTTATAAGCCTAGTTATTAAACTATTTCTGTCTGAGACACAAAAGCCCATTCAAACAGTTATTCACATAAATAATATTATGCAAAGGAACAGTCCTGTTTAAATTAGAAACTTTTCTAGGGCATAAAGTGAATTTTATATCTGAATATAACTATATACTGTCTAGCTATATATAAAATACATTTATCTATCTGTTATTCAATAGGAATAATTTATTTATCATAAACCATTTATTTGATGTTTATTTTTATTTTTTACGTTTAATTAAAGTATCTATTAATTCATGAAACACATTATTTTAATATATCCTGGTATCTTCTCTCCTGATAAATTTTTCTGAAAAATCCCTGCAGGAGCTAGTAGTGAAGACTCTCATAGTTGCAGAGCCACATGTTCTTCATGCTTATCGCATGTGCAGGCCAGGGCAAGCACCAGGAAGTGACAGTGTCTGCTTTGAAGTCCTGGGATTTGATATTCTGCTGGACAGAAAACTAAAACCATGGCTCCTGGAGGTAGGCCCTTTCAAAGAATGTGAAGTAAATTCTTAGGAGTAGAGTTAACCAAGCCTTAGTTGAATCTGTATCTACATTAGAAAACTGCTAAAGAAAATCTGGGCATTGCAGGAGGTACTGTTGTTGCGTAGACAGATGGCACTTTTTCTTCAGCATCTGTATGGAAACGCTGCCTTGTGGTGACTTTTGAGATTGGGATAAAGGTAATTGTTTTTCTGGAGTAACATTGCATTTCAGATGTTTTATGAAATTGAGGTTTTGTCAGTTTAAATTTAAAGCAACACTTTTGATGAGAAATGAGATGTTAATCTGGGTGGTCTGGATGCATTCTAGCTGAAGGACCGTATTTACAGAAATTGGATACTACATACATTTCTTCCTTCAGTATGGTTCTGTGTATGGCTCTTGCAATATTTCATATTTTAAATGTGTTCTATGGCTTTTAAAAATAGCCATATAAACAGAAGGAAACTAGCTCGGTATATGTGAAGTGCTGTCAAACAATCAGCATGAGTGGACTGGAAGAAACTGGAAGTTTCTCTTATGGTATGTCATTGGTATAGTAGCTTAAGTGGTACTTGTACAGATTTCCAGTGAGGAATGTTTGAGGTGTGTCTACACTGTTAATATATAGATGGAGCGTGCTTGTCTTTTTTTTCAGATTCTTATGTCATTTTGTTAACTGGTTGGTATGCTGTACAGCTGAAGGGGAAAAAAGGCAAAATATGTTAAAAATCTGATTATTGACATTAACTCATGCATATGATTTGGCTACTAATGAGCAAGATGTACACAATTAATCTACTGAATTATAGCCTCATTCTCAGGCCATTAATACTGCCAACAGTTGTATTGTCCTACTTACTTCTCTCAGGGATTCAGATTAACTTTACTTAGAAAAATGTAAATTCCCTCACTGTCTGCCATGCAGACTTGAGCATGTTTGCTGACTTTTACGTATTAGCCAAAAAGAACATGTGACATGAACTTAATCTGCACTTTACAAAGGGCGATGTCTGTTTTAACGTCACTGGATTTAAAACCACATCTACGTCTCCTTTTGTCAAGCAAAGCCTAACATCTCTTTGATTTAGCACTGCACTCTCAGATTAAGATCTGTCGGATATCCGTGGTGTCTGTAGCTGTTTAAATACAGACTGAAGTTGGTCTGTCTGCATAGTTCATCTGGCCTTGTAGCAAACGATGTCAAGATGATGTTTTGTCATTTGCAAGAATGTCATCAAAATCAGGTTGAAGTTTCACTGCAGGATTTTCAGGGAAAACTGTGTTGAATTCCTTATGAAGAACACCCCTCTGTCTTCTCAGATGTTTACATGTAGTACAGAAATTTTAGTGGTTTTGGTTCACTAGTTATGATAAAGGGTCTCAGACTAGAATTGTGCTGTTCCCAGGTTCTGTACTTGTGTGAGAGAGATGTAATAGCAACACAGTGAACACTGCTGCGGGACTTCGGGTTGTTGAAGACTGTTACTTGAGGAGTTGTGTAGTTTGTTCTTTTTTATTATTTCCTCTTCTGCTTTTGGTGATACAGGTACTTTTGAACATAATTTGCTGCACATATTGAACTAAATTAATAGACAATGCCAACTTTGAAACTTAGTAAATCAATTTCTACACTCATCCACAAATGTTTACTGTGCTCATTTATCTTTTTGCAGCGCTCTTAGAACAAACATGCTCTAAATATAAAATATATTGTAAAATCTATACACATCCGTATATATATTTTCCCTAAAACAATTCTGGCTCTGTCCCCAGCTTCCCGATGTCCCCTCTTTCCACCTTGTCCCTCTGCAAAGCCCCGTTTCTTTCTCCCAGTGGTGAGGAGTACCAATCACGAGGCCCTAGCTGTTCCCAGTGTTATGGGAATGTTGCCCAGAGAGGATTAGGATGGCAAAACTAGTTTTATAGTTTCATTACTCAGTGAGCTTTTCTGTCAGAAAAATAGCTTGATCAACTATGATAAGAAATAAATTGTGCAATGTTATAATGACTATTGTTTCCTGAGATGCCTTTTGTTTATATTCCTGGTTATGTGATGTAGCTCTCCTGCTCCTTGATGCTGCTGAACTTCCGGAACCTTCCAAGAAGACAGTAGCTCTTGGAAAGGCATGATTGCCATCTTGTGGCACTAAATGTGGTGACAAGCATCTGTGCTGTCCCAGCAAGCTTGATGCTTTCTGAGCAGCAGCGTGTACATAGATCATCCTTCTGTTCTCAGCAAATTCAGTTTTCACTATTTTTGACCTAAACCTCTAAGCTAGACTATTTTACATAAATAGCGAAGTCATTCAGTTGAAATTCTTGGATTGGCTCCAGCCTTATTCAACCTCATTGTATCCATCTGGGATCACAAAGTCCTGGAGAAAAAGGTCACCTTTTAATAACTTATTCATTGTTCCCTCTCCTACTAACGTAAGATCAAGCCGCCCTGTTTCTGGGAGTTGCATTCACATGACAGCCAAGCCGCAAGTGCAGGATACCGGACCGTGCTTCCCTTGTGATTTTTGTGGGTGAGAGAAACTCGCCTAATATACAGACCCGCAGATTTATTATTTATTCTAATTGAGGTATTAGCAAAATCTAATCAAAAAGTTATTATCAATCCAGTTACAATGGCAAAAACTCCTATAGTTTAAAGTATCCAGTTATTGATAATTCCTTTCAGCAAGCTTTCTAGTGCCTACCCCTTTCTCTTGTGTCCTGCTTGCCCATCCTGTGTCCCTGGAGATCCAAAGACCAGCAAGGGGGAGGAGAGGGCTTCCCCTTTTTTGAGCACGGGTAGGTTATGGCAAGTGGTGAGCGTCCCATATTCTTCACTGGGCAGGGTACAGTGTTGATGGTGACGATTTCTTCCTTTGCACTCTTGGATCCACTTAAGATTACTTTTATACGTTTGCTAACATTGGCTTACTGGCTCCACTGTCACTACTGTCCACTTACTGCCTTTTTCTTCACTTGCTAGCAATTCTGCATCGTCTCTAAGTTTTGCTATAGATGGTGTGTTTTACTCTTGCTGCATTCTGTTCTGTGTTCTTTCTTTTATCCCTGAAACCAGTTTTACCCAATACTGTGTTCCTGTACTGACCTATAGCTGGCCACTGTGATTTGTGTTTATACCTTAGAGTCTTTGGACTTTCAGGGCCTCCACTATCATTATCTGCTTGTACTTTTGGTGGCCCCTGTGCAATCCTGTTTGTTGTCAACAGCCTTAAAGATGCAGCTTCCTGATAAAATTATTAATGTTTTATTAACATAAGCCAGCCAAGCATAGATCCTTGTTCTCAGGTCATTGAACTCTTCCCCCCACTCCCCCCCAAAAAAAATCTATTGGGAGACAGATACAGATACAATGCTTTGGTAACTAATTGTTATTAATATCTATTACGACAGTATCACTGGTATGCTGTCAAGATTGCTTTACAGTGCTGGTATCTTAGAGTGGCAATCATATTTCTTGTGTGGAAATAAGGGATAGCCAAATATAAAAAAAAAGGGACAGCACTTTCTTTTAGGAGATATTCTAGGGACAACAAATTTCTTAACGTAGTGTCTTCTCTCAGAACTTCTCAAGATTCCTCACCTATGATCACATTTGACAAAGCAAGGCACTTTGTTCCATATATCCTGTATTTAACTCATTGTATGGGTAGAATGATGTGCAGATATCAAAAGGCAGATATCATCACAGATATGTGCGGATATTCGTATGGGGTAATTATATTTATATCTCTTGTACTGCTTAGACTAGAGCCATGTGGAAATACTTTTCAAATGTATCGTACTGCATTTCCTTGACATTTGAATTATTTCTGTGATACCATTTTCCATAAAGCTGTTGCATAAGTGTAATCTTTTTGTTTGAGATCAAGTTTTATACCTCCATCAGCAGCATGGTTTGTGGGAAATGAACAACCTTCAGCAAAATAAACCAGGTTCAGCCACTCATGTCTGTCTGAAGATGTGAGTGCTCATAACTGAAAATAAGTCAACAATGTGCAATTGCAGTGATGAAGACTGAGTGCGTGGTTCATTAGCCTTCATCTGCAAGTTGAGGGCGATGATCTACTTGACACCTGTGAGGCCACTTCTGGAATACTGTGTCCAGTTTTATCGCCCAGAGTAAGGAAACATTAGCAGCTTTCTGCTGAATTCCCTAGTTTGTCAACGTGTTCAGGGGGGTTGGAGCACATGATGCATGAGGAAAAGTTGAGGGAACTGGGTTTGCTTAGCTTGGAGAAGAGAGGGCTTTGCGGGGATCTAACTGCAACCCAAAAGTGGGCTTAGAGAGAAGACAGGGACAGGTTCTCCTCAGAGATACATAGTGAAATGATAAGAGGCACCAATCACAAGTTGGAACAAGGGAAATTCCAGTGTCTGGGAAAATTCAGGAATAGAGCTTGATGTAGATGCATGTAGGTGCATCATGTAGAAAGGTTGCCTGAATGAAGAAAAATAAATACCTATAGACATTTTCTGCATGGCCTGTTGGGATTTCTGTTCTTGTTTTGAAATAGGGAAATATGTCCCTTGCATTTGAAAATGCAAATAAATGGCAATGCAAAGTAAAATACTCAGCAAGCTACTTGGCAAAGGCAAAAAGCTTTAACATTTCTTCATATAGAGAACTTGCAGTGAGATTCTCTTCTGAAAAGTGGCTGAACTGGCACTGTGGGCATCCATGTTTGTTATGCCTCTGTGATTTCCATACAAGTATAAGTGTATTTGGGCTTTACTGTGAGGTGTGGCCATTGTTCTTCGGGCTTGAAATGTCAAGCAGGTTTTTTACGCACTTACTATTGTATTCAGTCAGTCTGTTGTGATCTTACCAGTTTAATACCTGGTTGCCCTGAAATTAATTCTCCTTTGTGATAGAAAGCTGCAAAGCAGCCGCCCATGTTTCCAGAGGAATCATGTTTTTCTCTGTGGGTTGCAAGGGGCATAAATGAGTGCATCACAGTGATTTTTAGATTGCTCTA